AGTTGGCGCCGTCTGTGGGAACGACGATTCCCTTGAATTAATTAATTACTCGTTGGGTATATACGTTTGCAGTCCGGTATGGTTACCGAAGGAACACCGTCGCAGGGATCTGGTCAAAGTGTAGAGTCGGGTGAAAACTTGGACGTCCCAAACGACCAGGCACGGCTTGCAACGTTGGAACTGCAAGTTCAAACTTTGAGTCAGGGTATGAACCAATTGATCAAGCAAAATGCAACGCTCTTGCAACACCTTGTTCCACCGGTTCAATAAAACTTTCCAAGACAAGATCTCTCAGGTCCAAACGGAGGTAATGAGAATCTTGAAGAGAAGGATAATCATCCCCCCCAAAATAAGACTGAAGTGGAACAAAGCCAGGTGGGAACCGTACATAGAGAGGTGGTTCGCCCATCTCTCCCACGGAGTTCCCAACCTCCTGGAAGCATAGCCTTCTGTCTTAAGGAAAAGACAAAGAAAGTTACCCATCTCGACTTACAGATCAAGGATCTCAAGGGAAAAATGGAAGATGTAATGCAGGCTATGAAAGGGAAAGGTCCTGCCGCCGTAGATGACCTGGTACAAAGGACCAACCTGCCTTTCAGCCCCGTCGTTATGAAATGTCTATTACCTAGCAAGTTCAGGATGCCCTCGTTTGAAAGCTTCGATGGGACCAAAGATCCCCTCGATCACCTGGAAACTTTTTAAGCTCTTATGCATTTACACGCTGTGCCAGATGAAATCATGTGCCAAGCTTTTCCCATTACACTTAAGGGATCAACGAGAGTTTGGTTCAATAAGTTGAAGCCAGGAACCATCAACACCTTCGAAGAATTGAGTAAGCAGTTTGTGAGCCATTTCATTGTAGGTCAGAGGCATAGGAGGCTGGATACCTACCTGTTTACCGTGGAGCAACAAAAGGAAGAGTCGATTCGGGAATACATCAACCGATTCAACGCAAAGATGTTGCAGGTAGAAGAGGTGGACGATAAGGTAGCTTTGACCGCTTTCATAGGAGGACTCCAAACCTCCAAATTCTTGTTCTCCTTATCAAAAGAACCTCCCACCAGCATGATAGAGTTGCTGGTCAGAGCGCAAAAACACATCAACGCTGAAGACACCATGAGTGCACGGAAGGAAGGAGAGGACAAGAGGCCAACCCTCTCGCCAGGGATGAAAATAATACCAAATATAAGAAATCGTTCTTCAGCCAGAGCGACAACACAAATCATGAGAATGACTCAGATGAGTATACTGACTAGAAATTGTCTCACGGTTGGAATTAGCCTTATCAAGTCATTCACAATAAAGATTGGGGGTATCTTAGTTAATCATTTTAAATGGAAGGTAGCTCCATCACGTGTTATTTTGTTTTTAATAAGCCTTGAGGCAATGATAGTCTTTAATAAAATTCCTTTTATTTTATACGTGCAGTATCCCCGTACTATAAGGGATAGTAAATGAATGTCCTGTATTACAAGGACCCGGGCTGAGTGAATCCCATAATCCGTATCCCCGTACTATAAGGGATAGTAAATGAGTGTCCTGTATTACAAGGACCCGAGCTGAGTGAATCCCGTAATCCGTATCCCCGTACTATAAGGGAATAGTAAATGAGTGTCCTGTATTACAAGGATCCGGGTTGAATGAATCCCGTCATCCATATCCCCGGACTATAGGGGATAAGTATCATGTATTATCAGGACCCGGGCTGAATGAATCCCGTAATTCATATCCCCGTAATATAAAGGATAATAAATGAATGTCCTGTACTACAAGGACCCGGGTTGGATGAATCCAGTAATTAATATCCCCTTAAAATAAGGGATAGTAAATAAAAATCCTTTATTAAAGAGGTGAGTTGAGTAAAACTCGTAAAGTTCAATTCCCTTATTAAGGAGTGAAACTCATACAATTTATTCCCTCGGGTGCAAAAAAAAAAAAAAATCTATTCATGAACAGTACCCTCGGTTGCCAAAAAAAAAAAAATTCCTGAGTTACTATTCACATGAATAGTGCCCACGGGTATTGTTCGCAGGGCTATTAAAAAAAAAAAATTTCCTGAGTTACTATTCACATGAATAGTACCCGCGGGTACTGTTCACAATTGAAAAAAAAATCCTGAGTTACTATTCACGTGAATAGTACCCGCGGGTACTGTTCACAGGGGTTGAAAATATATATATATATATATATATATATATATATATATATATATATATATATATATATTATTTATTGCATTCCCAAAGCTAGACGTGCAAGCTTGGGAATGGAGGGCAACTGATAGGGAAAAATATAAACCTACCCTACCTCGATAAGATTGATTAGATTTCATTATCAAGGATAATGAAATCTGACGTGGTTCAACAGGTAAGAATAATCATATTATAACTGGAGGAGGTCAAAATGATTAAATCATATCCCCGACAAATCTGGCAACAAATCTCCTATGATTTCGCACAAGCGGAAGATAAGATCAACCATCGACATCGGCGGAACGATTTTGATTCCAATCGACAGCCATAAATAGGGTACCAAGCCATTAAAGAAGGTACGACGTAAAAACTATTATTAATCCCTGCCTTCTTTTTAGACCTTCGTAACTAATTTGATCGTTGGAGAGCTCTTGGCAGGCAACACACCGGTGCCATCAAAGTTCATCGATCTTCTCCTCTCTTCCTTGCAGGAAAACGGTATCGTATCGGACTACGCGAATTTCAGCCTCAACATGTATAAATTAAGGGCATGTTTGGTACACGATTTGCCTTTTTTTTTTTAACTTGAAAAAATAAGTATTTTAAATAATAATTGAAAGCCTGTTTGGTAATGTCTATTTGTTACAAGGTTTTTAAAAGTAAAAACATGAGCATATGTTTGGTAAAAAGGTGTTGCACGTTTGAAAAATATAATGATTAGTCTAAAAATATAATTTAAGAGTTTTTATTTTTTATTCCGGTTCATCGCTACAGTACTCGTTGTTACAATGTTAAAACATGTAAAAACACCAAATTGATATTTCGATTTTTGGCCATTATTCATGAAATGTTTCGGCATAATGCAAAACAAAAAGTATTTTTTTTTAAACACATTTTTTTCACTATTCACTCTACCGATATACCAATGGTCCGATCATCATTTAGATAAGAAATTGCGTCTTAAAAATGTTTTTGTGCTTATTATCCATTAGACAAAATCAAGAAAATGTTGAAAATGATATTTTAATTTTCTTTTTTATTTTAATTTTCACAATAAAGATTTGCAGATATACCAATGGTCTGATCATCGTTTAGACAAACATTTTTGCCTTCAAAATGTTTTGTGCTTGTTATCCATTAGACGCTTCTTTTGTAACGTTTGGATTATTGTAATTACAAAAAAATATTTTATTTAATAGAAATTTATGTGAAAGATCACGTCGGTTTCTAATAGAGTAATGTTACAAAAACCGATTCATTTTTATAGTGACTCCTATAAATAATTAAGGGTATGTTCGGCTAATACTTTTGCTTTGTTTTTTTTTTTTTTTAACTTTTGTTAGTGTACTATAGCGAAGCAAAAACACGAAACATGTTTTGGCAATGTTTGTTGCCATTTGAATATTATCGAAACGCTTCGAAAAAAGAGGCACAAATCGAAAGCACAAAAATGATGCTTTTGTTTGGTTCCGCACTAAAGCAAAGCATTATTAAAGAAAATAATAATAAAAAATTAATGACATTTCTAGCTAACCATTCAAATTTTCAAACTTGCAATACTTTTTACCAAATATGCTTTCCTATTTTTACTTCCAAAAATCATGTAACAAATTTATGTTACTAAATAATTTTTGAAACAGCATTGAACACACTCTAAAATAGAAACACTACTTCTACTTCGGATCAAAACGAAAGTACAAAACAAAAACGATTTCTAAACGAGTCATAAATAGAATTCAACAAGAACTCTTAATAAAAACAAAAACGATATAGAAATAAGGGCTATTATTTGCCTCAACAGTCATACTATCGACTACTCGCATACGACCCGATGATACACGCACGACCCAATTAGCAGTTGGTAGTGTGCATGTGGCAATAACATGAATTTTAATAATCTTTATTTAGAAATAAAAGAATCTCTTTGATTAATCTCAATAATTAATTGCCACATCTCTCAGTGGAGAATCTCATTATCAAATCTATCATTGATGAAAGATGATTTTATGAAAAGACTAGTTATAAATCTTCTAAAAATGGTGAACTAAATGAAAAATAACGTATTCATTAGATTTATTGAAGTGAAAACTCATGGATCATTAGAAGTGGCGGTGAAGTGAAACTCGTGAGATCATTAAAAGGAGCCGTGATAGATTCTCAAAGGACCGAACTCGAAATTCAAAAATAATGATTCGGTCCTTCGTTTCCAATGACAAATTCAAAATACCGAGTCATAAAAAACCATGATCCTCTTGCGAGTATGTTATTATCAAACACTGTTCTTCTACTTGTTACAAAAGTTCTAATTTTTAAAAACATCACGTACGTTTTAGGCCTGTTTATACGCTTTGTTTTATATATTTTTGTTTTTATCGAATATTGTAACAGTGACTAGTAAAAAAATAAAACGTTTGGTAAAAACTATTTTGTTTTGCATAATACCGAAACGTTTCGTTAATAGTAGCCAAAAATCAAAACACCAATTTGATTTTTTTTAAATGTTTTTCCGCACTATAGCGTTAATACTGTAGCGATGAACAATAGTAAATATTTTTTCTTTTAAAAAAAACTCTTAAGGAGTAATTTTAAACTAATTATTATATTTTTTAAATTTGCAATACTTTTTTACCAAACATGTTTTCATATTTTTACTTTAAAAAATCTTGCAACTAATGGACCTTACAAATCACGCCAAGGCTGGCTTTCATATTTTCTTGATACAAATGTTTTTATGTTTTATTGCAACAAATGTTTTCATGTTTTTTACCAAACATTTTTTTCATATTTTTGCTTACGAGTACTATTCAAAACACTTTTACAATAAAACATTTGTTTTTGTTTTGAGTTGAAGCAAAATGCAGAAAAAAAAAAGAAAAAAAAAAAAGGAGGGCATACCAAACAGGCCCTTACTTAATTAGGAGTGTTACATTAATTCAATTAACCCAAACAAGGCAAACAAACTATCACAATTTGATTTTGTTTTCACATTCCATTATTATACATAACAAAATGCTGATGACGTCCAAGGCTGGCTTATTCCTTGTGGATATCATCTCTTCCCCTTTCCATTTAGTACTAGTTAAAAGGTAGCCTGAAAAAGATATAATAAATAAGAAAGTGAAACCAATAAAAACAATTTCACTAAAAGAGAAAAGGTTGGCTTGTTTTCAACAAAAAGAAAAAAAGAATAGGCTAGGACTTGGAACAATATATTATTATAAAAAAGACAAATGGAGAATAAATAACAGAAGGTTAACATAATAAAATGATTCTGCCATTTTAGTCTACATCCGTAGTCCATAAAATTGAACAATATACATATTTTTCATTATATTCTTTCTTGATTTTATTTACAGTGACCATTTATATTTAGAAGTGAAAGTATGCAAAAATACAACATATGTGAGAAAGAATGAGAGTTCGGGCCTTCATATATAGAGGTAATATTGTGGGTGGGATGTGCTTATGCTTAAATTTTCGATAAAAAATGGGGTATATATGCTAGAGTGAAGAATGTAATCAATAAACTGTGATCAGAAAATGTGGCATATAATAAACTAATAACTCGGGGATTACTCAGTGTAGAGCACTCAGCTCCCGGGGTTTGCAAGATTAAATAATAAAAAATAATAATAAATCAACAAATAACTCTTCTTAACCTAACAATTTGAGGACGAAGGAAAAACAATTAAGATGAAAGAAGCAAATAGCAATTTTAAGTAAGTATTATGATCCATGTGTTGTGAAAGAAATTGAAAAAAGAGATGATGAAAAAATAACAAAAAAGTTTTAGCGTAGTTTGACCACTGCAACTTTCATTAAACAACACATAAAACACAAAAGATTACATCACATTTATTATATTTTTTCTTAATTTTGTTTAAAAAACCACTTATATATATTTATTGGCTAAAAAACACAATAACATGATAAATTTTAAACGCATATTGATAGACACTTTTAAAAATCAATCAGACGAATCACTCCTCTATATATCCCATCAAAGCCTCAAAGGTTTGTATAGCAACTATAATATTCTCTAGCTATCATTATGCACAATACAATACTATAGAGTACAGACGATCTAATCCTGAGAAATCAAATTAAAAGTGAGATGGTGTCATCATTGTCATGGAATTTTTTTTTTTTCAGAGTAATTATTATTGGTTTTTTGAATCTATCCATCCACTTAGACAACATGACAATTGCTTTTTCGAAAATTCAAACAAGTCTAATATGTAAGTAATGGGACTAGACAAGGCCTAGCCCCAAAACATCAGCGCAATGTGCAATATATTCAAAAAAGGAGTTCACCGTTGCAAAGGCTAACCCGGTTTTCAAATCCCGTAGACCAAGAACAGAGAGTTGTTTCAGAGTTCAAATTGTAGAGGGTTAGAACTTAAGTCACACAGAACGGATGGATGAGCGAGAGTGAATACGAGAGTGAGTGGCAAATTTAAGTCACACATAATGGAATTGGGATCAAACGTGAGAGCAGAAGAATTATGTAACTAAAGTTAGAATTACTAGCAATTACTTAACAATATTTAACCGAATCTCTTATTTGGGCCTTGATAGGCTTCAATTGTTGGACCTTTGGTCTTTGTTGTTTCTTTGGGTTGAGCCCTTTTGGTCTATTGGGCTCTTGCCCTGCTCAAGCCAACTTGGGCTAACCACAGTCCTTGTAAATACATATATTTATACTTTGCTTAACCTTGCCCGAAAGAGGATAAAAAGAAAAAAAAATACTTTTTATTTTTGTGCTTTTATGTTATGCAATTATGCAAATTACTTACTAAAACTGTGTATAAAGATTGATGTATGCTTGTAGAATGAAACAATTCCACATGATATATATATATATATATATATATATATATATATATATGTATATAGTAAAATCTTAGAGATGGATGGTATGCAGATTATATATGTAACAATCACGTACCCATGAACTTCCATGTAATGCTTACCTTAGAGACTGTAGTTAGGATATCCAAAGTTCTTGAGAAATGATGCATGTATGTCGAAAGGTTAGTGTTGAAGGATTTAAATAGGGTCAAGTGCAGAAAATATTCTTAAAATATGCTTACAATGTATAGCACACTATTCACATACAAAAAATACCTTTATAGTTTCAATTTGGTGAAAATAGGTCCCTCTGACAAATTTAAACTCTAAGTTGATAAGTTGACTAAATTATCCTTACTGGACTATTTTATAAAATATATAAAAATAAATAATTTTGTAAAATAACCGAAAATGACACTGCTGTAGGATGCCCTTCTCGTGCGAAAAAAACACCCTAAAGTTTCAAGCTGGTGCAACTAGGTCACTCTAACAAATTTAAACCCTAAATTGACAAAATTACCCTTACTGAACCAATTTATAAAATATATAAAAATAAATAATTTTATAAAATTACCGAAAATGACACCATTGGAGGACGTCGGCAATGGACAAATTAAAATAACAATATAAAATAAAAAGAAAAATATAAAAGAAAAGTAAAGATAAAAATAGAAAATAAAAAACAAAAAATAAAGTGCAAAATAAAGAAAACAAAATTTTTCCAAACTCCGAAAACCAGTGCACACTAATATTGGGAATTTATTATTACTTTTTTAACAGTGTTGGTATGAAAAATTAAATAAAATAAAGAGAACAGTAAAACTCTTCTTTGAGTTCAAGAATTGCCTTAATTAAATGGACTTTTATAATGAATAATTTATAATAACGTTTTGAGAATAGAAAGGGGAGAGAAATAGATATAGAAAGAAGTAGAGAGAGAGAGATTGAGAGGAAGAGAGATAGAACGAGATATTAAGAGAGATAGAGAGAGAAATTGCAAGGATGCTATTTTGGGAAAGAGCTTGAGAAAGCAAACACAATAATAAAATGATTCTGAGAGTACTGGACCTCTTTTTTAGCATGCCTCTACATTTATTTATAGAATAACGTAAAAACAAACTCCTAACTTCAAGTACTTGAGTTACATAATGACTCTATCACATAACAAATAATATATTTAAATTAAACTAACTTAAGGATAACCACTAATACCTAATTGAAACAAATTAAAAGATAAATAATGTCACTGCAATCCATATCCATTAAATAATTTAAATGCTTCAATCTCCTTTGCCTCTACATGCAGCTCTCTTTGTCAACTTATACCCAAATTAGTTGCCATGTCATTAATACAAAATTTACCAAAAAAGGTGTCAACAATGTCCCCCAATTTTAAATGTCTTATCGACTGTTGGCCGCTCAAGCCGATAAGATATTTAAAATTAAAAGTACATTGGAAGGAAATTTTGAACAAGGGCTTCGCTAGTTACTTGGAATAAGATTGCAAATCAACAAGCTTGAAAGCTTTATTTCTTCTGAATCACCCCTAAGATGATCTTTATTTCATATTAGCCAAATCTGTCGATTTAGGCTTCTTCCTAGATTCTCATAAAGTTTGCCGATATTGCCAGCCCATAAACCCAGGAAGGACTTGCCCCCCATACGTTTTCAAACTCCTCTAGTAAATCATGATCGTGATCAGCAAGAATTAAATTATTGTGAAGCGTCATTCTAGCTGATCTGCCTATTATCTCTACTAGATGAATGACATTGTGCCAGCAAAAAGTTTTTTTAGCTGAATTCCTTTTAGCCGATTTCATCTTAGCCGATTATCTTCCAGCCGATTTTGCCTTAGCTAATTTTTCCTCCAGCTCAATTGGCAGGACTGCATCATGCCCAAAAGTCCATTGATTGGTAAACATGACCTCACCATAATCGGCAGGTTGAAGTAGAGCATACGGATCAACTAACTTTTGTTGGGGGTTTGCAATCACATGCCCCCCGGCAGCCGCTGGTTTTTTAGCTAATTTTTTCTTAGTCGATTTTCTCAACCGAGCTCTAAGTATCCTTTTGAAATTAACATCGGCTAGTCTTTTTCTTCTTTTCTTGAAATTGGGCTGAAGACAGCGAGTTAAAACAATTCTTTCAGCTGATGATTGTTTTTGCCGATTATTAGATGTCACAATTGGCAAGGAATGCTAGTACATAGGCGGCTTTGCTTTCAGCCGATTTGTACCCTTTCATTCATGGCAGTAACTATGGTGACATGCTGATTTACATATGTAAGGCTTTTTATGTTAATCTCGGCAACATCAACTTCCAGTTCATTATCAACTTTAGCCGAGAACACTTTATAATTTTGTAGTAAGTACCCTTGGAGGAATTATTTCTTTCATTCTCCTCTTTGAGTATCTCCTCCAGTATTTGAGTCATTAGTGTTTTCATCATCTGCTTAAATTCTGGCTAACTTTCTTGCTGATTGACTATCGGCTGCCCCCCAAGTACCGAAGATTGTGATACGAGGGTGACATGCTAATTTACCACTTGCCGATAATCAGTTGTTGGCGTCTGTCGATAATCTGATGCTAAAACTTGCCGATAATCAGTGACTGTTGGCTCCTCCCGTATTTGAGCCATCAGTGTTTTCATCATCTGCTTAAATTCAGGCCAACTTTCTTGCTGATTGGCATCGGCTACCCCCCGAGTACTGAGGATTGTGATACGGGGGTGACATGTTGATTTACCACTTGCCGATAATCGGTTGCTAGCGTCTGCCGATAATCGGCTGCTGAAACTTGCCGATAATCTACTGTTGAAACTTGTCGATATTTTGATGTTGAAACATGCCAATAATCAGCGATTGTTGGCTCCTCCTGTATTTGAGCCATTAGTGTTTTCATCCTCTGCTTAAATTCTAGCCAACTTTCTTACTGATTGGCCATCGGCGGCCCCCTGAGTACCGAAGATTATGATACGGGGGTGACATGCTGATTTACCACTTGCTGATAATCGGTTGCTGGTGTCTGCCGATAATCGGCTGCTGAAACTTGCCGATAATCTGATACTGAAACTTGCCGATAATCAACGACTATTGGTGTCTGCCGATAATCGACTGTTGGAACATGCCGATAATCGGCTGCTGGAACATGCCGATAATCGGTGACTAGTTGTTGATAATTATCTAGCCAACCATATGACTGATTAGAATACTAGTACATCGGCTGATTTGACTGATCAGAA